AGGAGCTGCTGCCCAGACCTTTTCCTCTGCTCCATCTCCCTTCCCACAGCTCTGAGAGCTCAGGGGAAGCTAGGGAAGGAACCGGTGGGCAGGAGGTCCAGGGAAGTCCCGCTGTCCATCAAGCCCACGCAAGATGCCCTGCAGACGGGGATGAAAAATAGCCCTTCCGTACGGAGAGAGTTTGGCCAGGATAAACCTCAACTCCTTCCTGAAGCCGTGCCGGGGCTGGCTGTGCAGAGGTGGCCCGCCGCGGGAGGCGGGCGAGCAGAGCTGCCGCGACAGCTCCTCGCTTCCCAGCTCTGCCAGGTGACGAGCAGGCAGGAGGAACCGCCTGCTTCCAATGTGCCGTCTCGTTTCCTGTCCCTGTCACCGCCATCCCATCCATCCTCCTGAAGCCTTGTCAGCTCTCAAGGAACAGTCTTTATCAGGGCCTGGGAACGTGGCCCGCCGCGGGAGGCGGGCGAGCAGAGCTGCCGCGACAGCTCCTCGCTTCCCAGCTCTGCCAGGTGACGAGCAGGCAGGAGGAACCGCCTGCTTCCAATGTGCCGTCTCGTTTCCTGTCCCTGTCACCGCCATCCCATCCATCCTCCTGAAGCCTTGTCAGCTCTCAAGGAACAGTCTTTATCAGGGCCTGGGAACCAGGCAACTGTCGCATTCCTTTTCCTGCCGAGAGCCGGCTGGGCTCAGGGTGGTATATATCTCCTTGTCATTGCTGCGAGGAGCTGAAATCAGCACTCTGACTAATTAGGAGGGCTGGGGAAAAACAGATGAGGGAATTAAAGAAAAATAAAATCGATGGTAGGAAATAGAAATGACAGTACCTGTCGGCTGGGACAAAGGGGGTGGGATGAAGAGGAGGATGATGAAGCGAGCAGCTGATGGGTTTCACTCCCGAAGCAGTTAGGGAAGAAGGTGATTTGGTGTTGAGACCTACAGCAGAAGTGCTTTTTCTTAATTGCATGGTTTTCCCCATGGCTTGCTGTCCCTTAATGCTCTTCTCTTAGTGAAACCTAAGCGCAGTGTGGTCATGCCGGCTGGGTCTGGCCAGGAGGGAGCTGGTGGGATTGGGAGAGGACGGAAAAGTGCTGGGGGGGACCTTTCCTCCCACCAACTGCTCACTGCAGCCTGGTCACCCCGGCACAGAGCCATCCCAGGAAGGGATACGTCCGTGCTCCACGCGGTTTCTAAAACATGGGGTGGAGAACGGGAACAGAGACACCCAATCTGGTGGTTTGAGGGCCAAAAGAGTTTTAATTTTAGCTTTGCCAGTTGCTCTCTTCCTCCTCAGGCAGGTCGCTTGCCTCTGTGGTTTGGGTTTCTCCTCTGTGAGATGGTGATAACGGTACTTGCTTTCTCCATGGCTGAACTGGGAAGGTCAGTTAACATTTGGATGGTGGCCTGAGGGTGAGGGGAGCTGTGTGCAGCTGAACCCAAACCCTTATTTATACAACTTCCAGTACCTGAGGAGGCTACAAGAAAGCTGGGGGGGAACTTTTTACGAGCGCCTGTAGTGACAGGACAAGGGGTAATGGGTTTAAATTGAAAGCAGGGAGGTTTAGATTGGACATCAGGAAGGAATTCTTCCCGCAGAGGGTGGGAGCACTGGGACAGGTTGCCCAGAGAAGCTCTGGATGCCCCATCCCTGGGAGTGTCCAAGGCCAGGCTGGATGAGGCTTGGAGCAACCTGGTCTGGTGGAAGGGGTCCCTGCCCGTGGCAGGGGGGGGGGCTGGGGGGGCTTTAAGGTCCCTTCCCACCCAAACCAGTCTGTGATTCTATAATTTAAAGACAGCAACAATCCTTGAATATTCTGCCTTGAAAGCTGCCCTTGACTCTGCCTCTGTCTCTGATCTTTCCCTCCTTATCTCTCTTTTGTAGCCCTGCTCCTGGACATAGTGATTGTGGCCGGTTTGCAGAAGCTGGCCAAGCGGAAGGGCCCGTACGACATCAACCCTGGCTTGTTGGACTACCTGACCATGGACACCTATGCATTTCCAGCCGGGCACGCCAGCCGAGCGGCCATGCTCTCCAAGTTCTTCCTCAATCACCTGGTCTTGGCCATCCCTCTCCGCATCCTGCTGGTCCTCTGGGCCCTCTGCGTGGGCTTTTCCCGTGTCATGATCGGACGGCACCACATCACAGATGTCCTGTCTGGCTTTGTTTTTGGCTACTTACAGTTCAGGCTGGTGGAGTTGATATGGATGTCTTCCAACACGTGTCAGATGTTGATATCCATCTGGTGAACATGGGGGAATTGACGGCTTGCCACTGGAAACTAGCAGATACTTCAAGAGTCTCCCTCACGGTATTTTCTACGTGTTGTTTGTTGGAAGCAGTGGTAACTTCCATGAGCAGTGGTGTTTTTTAATGTTGCTTCCCCTGAAAAAGAAAATGTTTCTTGCAATGGACTGGGTTTTAGCCCTCAAGGGCCGTACCTGTGTTTTGGCCATATTCTCAAACTGTGTTTGGACAGCAACCTAATTAAGCTTTACGGGTGACAGAAATGAGCTACATGTCTGCCTCGTTTGGGTGGTTCACATCAGCACCTTGATATGTCCTCAGGATGGGCAGTGCCTGAGAGCTTCCTGAGGACACATTTGTTAACTTTTTGGAGGCTAAATGAGTTTAGCCACAGTGCTTTTCTTTTTGTAAGCCCAACAGTCGTGTCTTGTACAGAGTCAGGACACTGCCAGCACCTCACAGATAATAAATAATCATAAAAATCCTGCCCTGTTTGGTTCTTATCGTGAGGGAAGGGACGAAAGACAGTTTGGTGCAGCTTTGAGATAGTTTGGTGTAGCTTTGAGCAGGTCCTGCAGCCTTGCTGATGAGGGGATGCAAGCGATCACTTAGTGGGTTTCTGTGGATGGGGTGGACCTAGATGGGTGCTCAGGGTGCAGTTAGGTGACATGCTGAACCTGGCCTTTCATCTGCTGCCCAAAAATCTGCTCCGTGAGGGTGCATGTGGGGGTTTTGGCCTGGTAAAGGACAAATACAAGTTGCCCGTTTTCATCCCGGTAGGGAGTAATTGAATAATCGATGTGCTGGATCACGGTGATTTTGCAAAGCAGGTCTAGATACGCAGCAAAGAGTCTTTCATGTCTTCACGGCCATGATTTCATAATTATGCCGAATGATGCTGTAGATGGGATCTTTCAAGGTAAGTCTGGTACAGCATTGGCAGCTGTACACCCCGCGATGTCGAAGAGCTGAGGGCAGGGAGGCAGGACTGCCCGCACCCCTGCCTCTGCTCGCACGCGGTAACCCCATGACAGAGGTGCATTCTGAACGTGTGTCTCACCCGGTATGGAATGAGGAGAGCACTCCTGGCCTTCCAGGGCTGAGCTAACTGATGTCTGTGAACTAGTCTGGGATTACTGAATGTAGAGTTCGATGCCCAGACACGGTGCTGTTGCTTTCCACTGACAAACCTTGAAACCTGGCTGATCTTTACCCAGGGGATGGCCGTACTCAGTGTAGTGTCTCTGAAATGGATCCCCCCTCACGACTAAGAAAATCCCATATTTTGCATAGAACCTTCTATTTCTCTATGGTTTCTCTGTCTTTAGAAAAGAGTTTGATGTTTGGCAGGTGATGGACACTACCAGACTCATCACCTTCCCAGCTGGATGCGTCCTGCAGAACGAAGGCATCCCATCATTCCTGTTTATCCTGTTTATCCCAAGTGAGCAAAATGCATCTGGCTTGCAGGGCTGGGAGCAACCGGCTGGGTCTTGTGCTCTCATCTATCCCTGCACGTTGGGAGCATCCTCCTACAGCGGCTGCTGGTGAGAAGGAGAAGACATTCAGATAATGACTGTTGCAAGCTGCTAACATTTGTTGCTCTTTGATAATTAATATGAAAAGAAGCTAAACAGAAAATCTATCCCTGGCACGCGTCTCCAGCTGGGATGTCAGCGCAGAGCCCGGGGAGCTGCTGACTTCCTGCGCTGCCAGCTCCGAGGCTCGAGCAGGAGCGTGGTAAGGAGGGCTACCGTGTCCTTTAAAGCTGAGCATCCCACGGAGCTCCCCGGGGGTGGGCTGTGCGAGGGGCCCTCGGGAAGGGCTGTCACTGAGTGTGCTCAGGAAAGGAGAGAGCTCTGGGTGCTGCCGGTTACCCCCGTGGGCTGGAGGGTTGGTGCGGCAGCAGGCAGAGCAGCGGGGGGGTGGTGGGTACTGCCCCGCTCCCCGGCTGCTGCTTGTTTAAACAGGGAGCACTGCTGCGGGTGCGAGCAGGGATGTGCTACTGCACCCGGCCTCCATCAGAGCTTGTCTTGGCCAACCTCCTTCTCCTGCAGACTTATGTGAAGTGGGCTCTGGTGCTTTTCCTGTCTTCCAGGCATTATCACACTTGGCAGAGTTTATCTTCACCCCTAGGAAGGATGGGGGCACAGCACTGCAGCTCTGACGGCGTGTGTATGCGCCTGTGCGTAGCTGGAGATGGTGGGTGCCTGGAGAGACAGGGAGCAGGAGAAGACTTTGCCCTGATTGCTTTGTGGGAAACTCTCACTTTGTTACTCTAGATTTCATTGAACCTTTGCAAATAAGCTGGATGCCCCTACAGGCATGTCCCTGGGTCCAGGTCTCCTTGCACTTGGGTTGTCTCTTGGTACATCCAGGATGGCTTTGGAGCAGTTACTCCCGGTCTCTGCTAGTACAATCAGGAAAGCCTGGTGTGGAGAAGGTACCATGGTGGGTAGCATCAGCTAAGCCGGTCTCATCCCAACACTTGGTTGCAAAGCAGGAGAGAGAGAGTTGGGGTGGCTCACCAGGGTAAGTTGGGGTTCACAGGACAGGGCTCGTTCCCATGCAGGGTTTCTCCTGGGAGCCTTCCCCCTCAGCACCCACAGTGCCTGCACCCCTTCGCTCCCTCAGTGCTCCGGTGCCCAGAGCCGGGGAGCCCCAGGGCTTGTGTGCTTACTGCAGGGAGGGTTTGGGGAGAGCCCCACAAGATGAGCGGAGATCTGGGCACAGAAGCACCAGGAAAGGCCCAACAGAGCTTTGCCTCGGTGGTGCCCAGCCCTCCTGGCAAGGCAAGTGGCACAGCACTGCACAGCATCCCTCGTCCCTCTCTCTGTTACCTCCCATGCTGAAGGCACCGCTCAGAAACAACCAGCATTGCTGCGACAAGAACTAGCTTCTGTCTCTATAGCAACAGCGAGGGATGGTGGTACCCACAGGGTTGCTGCCCAGCCTGTGTCCTGTGTCCCTACCCAGCCTTGTCACCCAACAAGCAGGACAGGCTGTGGCTGGGTTAGCTATTATGTCCCGGGAGGAGGCGGGAGACCCCCAGCCCAGGGTGCAGCGGTGTGGGTGGGGACACACGGGGAGCAGTGACACAACAACCCAGCTCTTCCACCGACAAGGTACAATCCACAGCTTTCACTCTGAGTGGCACGGCCCCATCCATCCCGCTGCGGGCAGCCCCCGTGCTGCTCTCACAGACATCCAGGGTGGGATCCCGAGTGTTTTGGCTCGGAGGCAAGGAGAGCACAGCAGCACAAGGGGAAGGACAATCTCCCTGGGCTTTGGGCTTTAGACCTATGTGGATGCCACCTGCCTTCCAGCCCTCAGTTTCAGATTGCGAGGAGGAACATGGATGCAGCACCCCTGTCCCTACAGCCCTGCAGCCTGGGGAGGGTTTTCTCCCCCCTCAGAAGGTGTTAGAGGGATGGGGCTGGGTCTCAGCCCTGGCAGCACTGCCGGACCCCGGGCTCCTGTGCAATGCGCTGGAGGCATCGCCCACCTGTGCTCTCCACTGACCTCGCATTTGGCAGCGGCTCTAGGAAACACCAGTGGGTTTTGCAGGCGTGTGGTACTTGTAGCCAGCGGCTGAGGCAAAGGATTTTTGTGCCTGTTTCTCCACTCCCCTGGAACTTGTGCTGATGCTCATGCAGAGGTTTGGCCCTGGCTGTCCTGGGTGAGCCAGAGCAGGACACAGGGGTTGCCCTCTGCAGATGCCCACGATGGTCATCTGGCTGTGGGGAGGCAAAAGGCCAAATGGTTTGAGATCCTTCAGGAATGTGAATGTTTTCCCTGAACCTTCAGAGCCCCAGATGGAGCCAAGCCAGGCTCAGCATGAGGCTCAGAGAGGAGCGGTCCCTCCCAAGCCAGGACACCTCTCCACCCCCCCAACTGGGGCATCCTCTGCCTTTCAGTTCATCTAACAGATGAATTAAGAAAATGCCCCAGAGAGAGCAAGCGCAGCGCATGGGTTTGGGGGCTGCTGCCATCAGCGCTGCACGTGTCCACAGATCCAGGAGGGTCCCAGGCTGCCATGGTGGCGATTCCGTCTGTGGTTCAGCTGCGTACAGTGAAAGGCCCCTCCTCCCCTTGCCCTAATGCTGATTATGCGCAGCAGCAAAAAGAGATTTTAATTTATTAAAAAAAAAAAGGTGCCAGGGCAAGTAGCAAATCTGGATTATATCTTTGGGCATACGTGGGAATCACAGCTGGGGTGTTTAGTTCCCCCTTTCCCAACCTAAGCTGGTGTTTTACTCCAACAAGCTGTTCAGTACATTTGTGGCTGGGGCTGTGCATAAATGATGGTGGGACAAATCCTTTCCCACATCAGGGCTGCGATGCTCCCCCTGCCATGGGGCTGCCACGGGGGTCCTCTCTTCTGTCTCCCAGGAAGGAGCGACTGGGGCTCTGTGTCCACCTGGGATGAAGCAGGAGGGAAGCTCAGGCGCTGGCTGGCACCCAGAGAGCAGGTTGGTGGATTTGAGGGCTCGGGGGGAATTAGGAAGGCTGTTACACAAGGTCTCCCTGTGGTAGCACAGGTGTGGCTCTAGTTCATCCCGTGCTGGGTGTTCTTGGGCAAATGCACCCCTTTTGTTCACTCAGGTGTGTTTCTAATGGGGGCGAAGGGGCACACAGGCTTACCTGGCTCCCAGGAGCTGGGTGCAGCAGCCCCTGCACCACTCCCTGCAGCACCAGGTCGCACAGGACCAGCAGCCACAAACTCCTTTCTGGGGCTCCCCAATTAGGGAGAAGCATCAGTGTGATTTTCAGTTACGTTTTGGTATTAAAGCGATAACTAACCATGCCATTTCCAGGTTAAAAGTTTAATATATTGGGCAAAGCCTAAAGAAATGGGAAGGTTCCTCCCTTTGACGCGTGTGTGCTGCGGAGGGTGATGTCAGAGCGGGTGATGCCGCAGATGGAAGATGTGTGAAGGCAGTTGAAGCCATTTACATGTGCTTGGCCACCCGAAATGAAGACACGGCCAGTTCTTGCCTCGGCGTGGCGGGCTGCAGGCCTGGGCACGGACACGCTGGCTGCAGGGTGGAAAATGACCAAAGAGGTGTTTTTCTCCAGTGCCAACCCGAGGAGTCCCTGGCTGATGTGCCTATATCTGAATACAACACCTGGCTGAAGGTGGTGCTGTGGGCTCTGCCCCCCAGGCAGAGGGCATGGGGTGGCTTCCTTCCCTGCCTCGCTGGGACTCAGAGACAGCAAAGATCTCCACGTTCGTTCCCCAGGACGCAAGAGTCAAAGCGGATTAAGGGTCCCTCGGCTGATCACATTTATTTCATTATTTGAGTGAAATCCCTTGTAAATACCACCTCCCCCCTCTTTTTCTTTTTATAAAAATAGAAGGCAGGGAAGAATTGGAGATTTAGGAAAAGTTAATCGCAGGAGTCGCTTGAAAACCATTAACCTCTCGCAGCCCGCGAGAGGCTGAGCAGTGCCCGAGCCCGGCTGCAGTGCACAGATGCTGAAT